ATTATAAAAATAATTTACATGTTTTTTGATTGATTCATCCATTCATTCCTTCGTCCATTCATTCATACATTCAATCATACATTCATTTATTCACTCATTCATTCATCCATCAATCCATCCATTGGTTAGTCCATCTACTAATTCATCCATCCATCCATCTATTCATCATTCATTTCAAATTAATAAAGCCATTTCAATTTGAATTCGTCATGAAACTACGGATATGAAAATGAAAGAAAAAAAACTTGTTAAGCCAAATTTATAGCGGGTATATATATATATATATATTCAATCACTTTTTTTATTTAGTTATTTATTTATTCTCTCATTCATTCATTCATTCATTCATTCATTCATTCATTCATTCATTCATTCATTTATTCATTCATTCATTCATTCATTCATTCATTCATTCATTCATTCATTCATTCATTCATTCATATTAATTTTGCTAAAATTATATTTAAAAATTCAAACTCCAAATTCACATTTTATCAAGTTTTTAACTTAGTTCATACTCGATTAAACATTCAAGTAAATCCTGTAGAAATTTTTGTATGTATGAATGTATCTATGTATAACTTATGGTATATTATATAAGCACACACACATACACATACACATTCAAACACACACACACACACATATATATATATATATATATATATACATAATAAAAATTCTACGGTCAACAGTACATTACATGAATGACAACCGATCGGACAGTTCAAATCGTTTGATCTATTTTCTAAGATTTTTTGAAATGCAATCAATAAATAAAACTCAAGTTACTGGCTTGAACACACACACGCAAACACACAAACACACAGACGTAAAACACACACAAGCAAGCTCATACAGACACACATGAATATATGTGTTATAACAATTACATTATTAATTAAAATCTATTACATACATTAACAAAAATTAATATGTAATACGTAGCATAGAATATTAATGAGGTTGATTATGAATGATAATAGTATGCAAGTAGTAGTCCTGAAACGATGAACGTGAATGGACACACCGTCCCCGCAAAAATGAGACCCCGTTTCTGATTGGCTGGTTTCGTCTTGGTTCTGATCACGTGGTGTTAATTGTTTCATTCGAAATAGATTTTTATTGTTATTGCTACTATTACTACGACCAAATTTTAAATTGTCACTATTATTATTATTATTATTATTATCATTTACAGCTGCTACTACTGCCGCTACCACTACTACCACTACTTCTACCACTCTCATTTCATTAATTTTTTAAATTTACTCACCCAGCTCATATCATCTTCATGCTGTACCCGCACAGAGCATTTTGATGTTGATGATGATAGCGAGGGTGGTACTGATGATGATGTCGTTGGCCTCAGCTGCTGAACGTTCGGGTCAAAGGTCAACTTGTCGCACGTCCCTTCCATTGCAGCCGGGTCTATGTTATTATTATCAAAAGGTTAAAGGTTGAAGGTCAATCTCCCTTGTGCACTTGCTTCAGAGGTTCCAACGACAAACACACACAGCGTACATGAATTAACCCTTACACCATCGCGTAATTATTATCTTCTATACACACACAGAAACAAACACACACACACACAAACAAACATACATACACACAAATACATATACACACACACATACACATAAACATACACACACCTCTGACAACTTCGACAGGTCTGCTACTGATAGTGGGAGTATCTTCACACATGCACGTCGTATCAGTTGCTAGTAACATGAGATTTGTGTGCGGTACATCCGTTATCAGGTATGGCCTGGAAAGGTTTAAAGGTTATTTAACGATTACTTAAACAATACGTTACTACTACTATTATTACTAGTATTTTTATTTCTACTTCAACTACTACTACTACCGTTGCAGTAGCTGCTACAACTACCACTACTGCTACTACTAATAAATTTTAAATTACACGGCCACTTACGCAGTTTTAATACAAAATTGAATAAGGCTATTCAAGTGGATTGTTTAATTTCTATAACTACCTTCGAAGTTGAGTTAGTAAATGATACAGACACGCAAAAATACACTCTCTCTCACACACACAACACATATATACACAGACCACACAGACACACAAACACAACAAAACAAACTTGGTGCATATGTCTCTCTCCTTCTTATTAATCCTTCCATTTTGGGGCAATCTAACTTTCTCGCGCTCGTACCTCGTATATGATTGGATGCATGGTCTGAATCCAAGAATTCCCGGTTCGTAAGCCTTCTTAATGCTCCGCAGGCAAGCCAGTGCCACGTCTGCATTAAAACCGGACTGCCGCATACAATTGTCCTTCCACTTTCCAGCCTGTATTGTTGTCGGATAGCAAGGAGTTGTAAGTTAATGTAACCCTCATTGATGTGAATAGCGCAGATAGTTTGAAAAAAGTTAGTAGATGTAGATTTTTCAAAGACAACAAATTACTCAATAGGCATACATGCAGAAAAACATAGGCCTACACTCATACACTGGAAACGTATATAGACATTAACACACACATACATAGGAGCAACTAACAATCGGACCCTTTGTAAGACGCCATTTTGATGCAATTAACATAATTAACATCGCAATTATAATATAATAATTAATATCGTAATTAGGATATAATATTATATTAAGCTATAATTAACTAATTAGCTAATTAATGAAACCTGTTCGGCCGATGATATCTTCATGAGATCAGTCATAAGGACTCTGTAAGTTTCCAGATCTGGCGGAACCTCGTCAAACGCTGTCACTGGTAGAGGTGGTGTTGTCTCGTTCGTCGTTTCTGAATCAAAATTAATTAAATTTATACTATTGCCCATCATCTTTGCTGTGTTTATATATTTTTTCTAAAACTTCTAATACTTCATGAAGAGATGGTTGCATAAATAAATGAATAATTATAATTAATAATTATTAGATTTTATATTATTTTATTATTATATCAAATTGTAGTAATTATATTTTTATTCATTATTTATGCGCAGTTTCTAACTGAGATACAAAGCAACAACAAAACATTTACAAACGAACGTTTGAATCCAAAAAATGCTCCTACAGAACCAATGTGACTCATGAAGCTGAATGAGTGAATAAATGAATGAATGAATAAATGAACGAACGAACGAACGAACGAATGAATGAATTGCTAAGTTAATGAATAAATGAATCAATTGATTAATGAACATACAGACGATAGATCAAACAGACAAATTTAGTTAGGTTATTTAATTTAGATAAACATAAAAATAATTAACACATAAATTAATCATACACCCATTCAAAATTGTTGCTCTCTGACTCACATGTAAACTTCACTTAGTATCCATACTAGTTTGTTCAACAAGACGGTAAACGAAAGCTATTAAGAGAAAAAAATATTTATGATGATGAAGTGATAAATATCCGTTATAATATTATAAATATTCGTTATAATATTCATTTTTTATAGTGATAAGATTCACCATCATCATCTTCATCATCATCATCATCTTCATCATCACCTACATCTTCATCATCACCATCATCATCGTTATCGTTATAATTTTTCCAATCATGTTCGACAGTCACAATACCCACCCACAATCATAATCCTCTGTCAGTAATAACCATTAAAATCATCTCAATCATCATTTTCCTTATCATCATCACTATCTTAATCATTCTAATCATCACTTAGTCATCGCACAGTAGAGCGAGTAAGTTCAGTGAGTGCTTAGCTAACGTTGTTGCTCAGAGCTTCTGAATTTGACGATGACTTTCTTATTATTTCACAAACTGCCTGGTGGTCCGTAACTTCAATTCTGTAGACGTATAATGACAAACATTATTCATCACTATCACCATCACCATCATCATTTTCATCATCACCATCAACATCATCATCATCGTCATCACCACCACCATCATCATCATTATCATCACCATCATCGTCATCATCATCACCATCATCGTCCTCATCATCATCAATACTAACTTGTTGAATATACCAGAGTTTTTGGTTGCATCGCCAAGGTTAGCCAGATGATGATGGTGGTGGTAGCCATCTTGGTTGGGGTCTCGTTCCAGGTTGGATTCCTCTTCGTTTCTTATGATGAGATCCTTCAATATACGCGGCGCGCATCCTTCAAGTTCTCCAAGAAAATAGCCCAACTGTTCGTGTTTCAATTGTTGTTTTTTTTTTTATTCGACTAATAACTACAAGTTGAAATGTTATTGAATTTATAGACAAAAAGTGAGATATTAAACAATCAATCTATTAATCAATTAATTAATCGATCATTCAACAAATCAATCAATCAACCAATCAATCAACCAATCAATCAAGCGATCAACCATTCAATAAAATAAATCAACGGACCTGAGCTGAGTCTTCAGAATAAACGATGTATCCATTTTGATCTATCAGGTAACATTCTATAACCTAAATGAATGAAGTGCATCAAAGTACATAGATAGCAGAAAAACGACAAACAAACAAACAAACAAACAAAAACGAACGAACGAACAAACAAACAAACACGAACAAACAAACGAACTTCGGATTCACAAGTTTTCACGCACGGCTGATGTTCACCAAGACGACAGAGGGATATTGAAGTTTCATTGAGGATCTGTCTGAACTGGGAATACCTCATCAGCAAGCCAACCACACCGACCACACCCTCGCTGACGTCATTATGGATGACCACTGGCGCACTGGCTAGTATGTGTAAGTATACGTTTGTTTGTGTGCGCGTGTGTTTGTGTGCGTGAACATTATCAATTCTGACATTGTCATCTTTAAACATGACACATGTGGGAGGAGAGATGTATCAATAGTTAAGACGCTGGCTCTTCAGGTTGCAGTAACCCGGACTGAATACAGATTACAACGTGTATAACTGCCCTGGTTTACGCTTGATAACGTACATTATGTGTGTTTTGTTGAAACCTCAAAGAAATAGTCAAGTAATAAATGAATAATTAAATAAAAAGAATAATAAAATAAGTATGAATGAACCAGAAATCAATATGTCGTCCATGTTAGCAGAGTACAAATGTGATGGCGGTTGATACTGCAGAGGATAGGATGACGAGGAATCTCCATTGTTCATACTGCTCTCTGCCGAAAAGTGTTTTGTAGAAAAAAAATCTAAAAATGTTTTTAAAAAAAGTTAAAAATTTGATCTGAAAATAAATTTTTTTTCTACTGTTTTCTGCGAGCGTTTTTGTTGTACTTTTAACAAAATTAGTCTACTAAAACATTCAAATTCTACCAGTCAATCACAATCAACCAACCAAGCGATTTAAACATATTTAGCCAATTAGAAACAGTCCAATTTTACCAGCCAATTAGAACCAACCAATCATGCAATCTGAATATAGCTAACCAATTAGGAAGGGCAATGAAAAGGTGAAAACATCTTCTCCTCCATTGATGGCTCTTTTGTAGTAAAGGGACTGTGATGTTGAAACTGCCGTCTGCTCTAAATAATCTCTGCGTAAAAAATTTTTTTTTATTTTAAAATTCAAGCAAATTTAGAAAGCCTCTAAATAAATTTTAATATTGGAACTTTAATTTTTCTAACACTCTATACATTCATAATTTTATTTTAAAAATTAAGGGAGAAAAGAGAAGAAAATTTAGGAAAATAGTAATTTAAAACCGAATGTTTACTTTTTATTAAACACTGATATAAATATTTTTATAAATATTAATATATGTAGGGAAAAGTTTAAAAAAGTGTTTCGAACTCGAAGAGTTCTTGGTTGGTTTGATTGAAGACAAAATATCTAGTGAGTCCTCCCTTCGTTCCGAAGTAGACCATGTCCACCCCATCACTCCTACAAATAATTAACATAATTATAATTAGTGTCAGTCTCATTATCATAATTTATGTTTATGTCATCATCGTCATAGTTTTAGGTTTGTTAATACGATCGTCATCGGAGCAGACAATGCCATTGTAAGTCATTATCATTCATACGACCTGGAGATACAACATTGATATCGTCGTCATTATCATCATCCTCTCTACCATCATCTTTTTCATCATTATAATCTTCTTCTTCATCATCATCATCATTTCCGTCATAGCCATTATCTTCCATTTCATTACCATCATTATCATCTTTTTTATCACCATTATCAACTTCCTCGTCTTCAACTTTCTTCAACTTTCTTATCCTCTTCATCATCACCATCATCATCATCACCGTCACCATCGTCACAACCACATCGTCATCATCACATTATCATCATCATCATCTTTATCATCCTCACCATCACATTATTATCATCATCGCCATCGTAACCGACCTAATTTGAGCGTGTTTTGAATCCCAATTCTCTTTCATCCAGCTGTTGGAAGCCCCTCTGGTCGCTTCAATGTCGTACAGTAGGTTCATTACTAACTCCTCGTTGCCTGTTTGTTGCATCAACACCATCCCCATCAGTGTCATTATCAGTATCATCATTATCACCAACATTATATCTTCAGCATCGTCGTTATCATTATCATTAATATCACTATCCCCATCAGTATCAATGTCATCCATGCTGACGTCACGAATGTAATAACACACACACAAACGAAAATAGTCAACAGAAATTAAAGTCGCCAACATTTCTCCGTGTATATCTTAGAGTTGGTTTGAGCAATTTTTAACTGATGGTACAACGTCTCAGAACGAGAATTCATCTTCTCTTTCAGGTCGAAGCTACAGTATTGCCTGGTGAATATGATTGAACAAGTGCGATAAAAAAAATTATTATCTTTTTATTATAAATAAAAAATAATTTTTAAATTAAAGATAAAAGTCAATTTATAAATTCTTTTGTTGGCAAACCAGGGTGCCACTGTGAATTGATCAGAGTTCCAACTTGAAAAATCTGGTTTGTTTTTTTTTTCATTATTAAAATTAGATACATGAAATATTTAGAATAATATTAAAACAATATCAATATTATTTGTATCAATTTATAATTAAAACATTCAATTATTGTTTATTACCAAATACCATTACTTTAACTATAACTATAAGTTTAATCATTTATTTAAATGAAATATCATCAAAGCAAGTTTGTTCATTCATTCAGTTGTTCATTTATTAATTCAGTGAGTCAGTGAGCCAGGCAGTTCGTCGGTTCAATCAATCAATTCTTCATTCATTCATTCATTCGTTCGGTCGTTTGTTCATTCATTCATTCATTCATTCATTCGTTCATTCATTCATTCATTCATTCATTCAAAAATTTATTCAATCAATCAACCAACCAAATTCATGCAATTTCCTCTTTCCATCCACCCATACTCTCCCATACTGTTGAGGTAGAACTAAGCCGAAACTACGGTTTAATGAAATCAACTAATTAACATTCACTCTAATAACTTATAAATAAACATTTAATTGATTAATTAATTATTCTTTTGTTTGTTGTAATGCCTTTAACCATAGCGTTATACATTTTCCGTGAGAAATAAAGTCACAAAGAAGAGTAGCATGAAAGTTGAGGAAGTTTTTTCGCTATAATTTTATGGTTTATTTCATTTAAAGATTAAAAATTGAATACAGAAAATAAGAAATACCTGAAAGACGTATGATCGATTGGCGTGAAGAAACAGTTACCTCGTCTCATATTTACTCGTTTCTTGATTACAAAAAAATTATTTTACCCATAAATATTATTTATTAGTTTATTATTATATGAATAATTACATTTCACTCACTTATTTATTTATTAGTCTAATATTATATAATTAATTATACAAATTGTAAAAAAAAGTTCAGGAAAACGCAGTTCGTATGAAAACATAATAAAGATGATAATTAAAATTTATAATGATGATGATAATAACTTAATAACTACAAATTGTCAGTAATATATTTTGAATAAAAAAACCCTAAAAAAAATAAATAAATAAGTTTCGATGATGACGTCATAAGGAAGGATAATGATGTCATACTAACAAAATTATCGAAGAGACCGACAGAGTTAATGTTCATGTAAGCTGTTTCTCTTCTCATCATTGCTTCTTTTATCTGTTGTCATTCATTCATTCATTTAGATATTCAATCAATCTTTCATCCATTCCTTCAGTGATAGACATACACACACACAGTGTCACAAACACATACACAAGCACACACAAGTACATACACACACACACATGTACACACTCTCACATCTTTTATGACATCTATCTTTTCCAGGTCTTCCAAGTCGACAATGTGACTCGAAGGATTGTATGAGAACTCGTACTTATACTTGCTCTGTCAGTATGTATGTGTGTGTGTGTATGTATGTGCGTGTGTGTATGTGCATGTGTGTGCGCGTGTGTGTGTGCGTGTGTGTGCGCGTGTGTTTGCATGTATGATTTTTTATGATTTTATTAACACAGGCACTATAACAACAGTACGTAAAAAGAGCCCATTCAAAAAAATTTCCACTGTAACATAACACCAATCGACATTTTGTCACCCCGCGTGAACTTCACTTGACCTCCACTTGACCTTTACTCACCTTGGCCTTCAACTCTGGATGGTAGACGACGTTGCCGCTCTCCGTGATTATGAATCCGTAAGCGTCGACACCGAGCTGTGCAAAAAATTAACATATTTAAATTATTCAAATTAATTAGCATATTTAGATTATTCAAACTATTATTGAAATATTAAAAATGTTAACATAGTAATATTAACACTAATTTTAATAATACAAATTAAATTATATTATTATTATCGTTATGGTTGAAGTAATAGAGGCAGAAGTAAAAAAGTAGTAGTAGTAGTAATAGTAGTAGTAATAGTAGTAGTAGTAGTAGTAGTAGTAGTAGTAGTAGTAGTAGTAGTAGTAGTAGTATCGGTAGCATACTCATCGCTCATCGGTAGCACGTGCAGGCCACATTTTGATTTGCACCCGTATTTTTTCTTAATTTCATAGTTTAAAATCGAGTATTTAGTTTAAATTTAATTTCATTTGATAGAGAAAATTTTGACGAATATTTATATATATATTTTCTCCGTTTGAAAGTTTAATTTAATGCTGTTTTTGCTGTTTTTTTCGTTTCGGAACTCACCCGGACAACGAACAACACAACAATCAAATTAATATGGCTTCAAAATGTACGAAAACAAAATGTGTGAAATCAGGAAAAGAAAATTTGCAATGCATTCAATGTTTTCAGTGCGAAAATAGTTTTCACATAAAATGTGTTGGTTTTAGTGATGAAGCTTTTGAAGTGACACGTAGTTTCGATAGTTTTAAATGGTTTTGTGATATTTGTCTGAAGAAGTTATGCAACGTTAAAACTCTCTTTAAAATAGTCAGTGTCATTTTTGATTCTAGACTGGCAATGACTGAACATATCAAGTTTTTATCTGGTACTGCAACCCTACAACAGCGAAAATTAAAAATAATCCGCAAAAGCTTAACCAAAGATGTTATTCAAAGTTTAGTGCATTCGTTTATTCATTCTAGACTGGATTACTGCAACAGCCTATTTTTTGGTTTGCCTGAAAAATCGTTATCTGTGCTTCAGTCAATTCAGAATCGGGCAGCTAAGATCGTGGTTGGTGCGGAAAAGTTTGACCATGTCACCTCAATATTCAGAGAACTGCACTGGTTAATGGTCAAAAAAATAATTTTGTTTAAAATATCAACAATCATGTTCAAATGTATGAAGGGAATGGCGCCAGTTTATTTGAAAAAAATGCATGCACCGAAACAACTGTCTTTTAAAAATGTCTGCTTAAGGTCTGATGATAGCAACTTGTTATGTGTGCTCCAAACCAACTTGAAAATGGCTGAGAGGTTTTTCAGTATGTGGACCAGCCGTTTGGAATAGTCTACCAAGTCATCTAAGACAGCCCGAACTGACAGAAAAATTATTCAAGAAATTATTGAAATCATTTTTGTTTTCATTATAAGATTTTAAGATTTGGTTTATCGTAGCAATTCAAATGATTTTTTTTTTAGACAGTGCTTTTGAGAAACATTTTGTTTGTAATTAGCGCTATACAAATTTTCGAATAATAATAGTAATATAAGTAGTATATATTGTATTGATCATTACCATCATCGTTATATTCGCTATTTATATCTACTTTCATGTGTATTTATTTTTCTTTTATTCTATTACTGTTGCAGTACTACAACTACTACAACCACTACTACTACTACTACTTCATTGGAAAATTCAGAAGACAATAAATCACTGTATAAAAAAAAACCATAACAACAAGCCAAACATAAACCAATCAAAACAAAGCAATGACCACAAAAACAACAACAACAAGAATAATAATAATAACAAAATCTTTAGAAACTATCCAAGGAGAATTATTAACATTGACGGCATTATTTACTGGCCGAAACCGCTATGCCATTATAAAGATCATCTATGAGACCAACAACAACAAAAACGACTACTACTACTGCTACTACTACTACTACTACTACTACTACTACTACTACTACTACTACTACTACTACTGATGTTGCTGCTGCTGCTACTAATACTGCTGCTACAACTACTACTATTACAATAATAATAATAATTTAGAAAAAGCACGTTAAAAGTAGTTGATTTTACAACAAAATCAACTGCAAACAACATCCATATTAACAGATGACGACACCAATAAAATAATTAACAACAAAAATAACGACGACAACATAAAACACAACATAAACAACAAACACTGCAACAACAACCACATAACACCAACAGCAGCAGACACATGACACCATTAAAAACTAACCCATAACATCAAGAACGAACACGGAACATCAACAACATCAACAAAAACAACAACAACAAACACGTAACATCAACAACATTATCAACAACAACAACAGTAACGACAAACATCACAAAACACAAATCGCATATACTTGAAAGGAGTTGAACAGCCTCTCAAACTCAACGATAGCAACGTCCACACCTACTACGCCAATAAATTTCTGAATAATAATTGTTATATTTACAAAATTATGAAATGATAGGTTTGGAAAAATATATTATAACATAAACATGAGGTAGAGGAATAAATAATAAAGGGCGCAAGCTCCAAGTTCATATGTCATATGAAGAATACAAATTAAAAATTAATTCACCATTGTTTAATCATCATCATTAACATCGTCATCATCATCAACATCAACAACATCATCGTCATCATCTTCATCATCATGATCATTTTCATCATCGTCGTCGTCGTCGTAATCATCGTCTAGCAGCGTCACGATCATTGCCTTTGGCTCAATAGCAGCCAATAAAAAATCGTTAGCATCATAATCATCATCGTCGTCGTCCTCTTCATCATCATCGTCCTCATCATCAGCGTCTTCATCATCATTTTTACTCATTTTATTGTAATAAAAATTATCACTGTCTCCAGAGATATAACCGCCAAAATAATCAAAAGTTTAACGGTGGTCATCATTATTTTTATCATCGTCATATCACCACCACCATCATTATCGTCGTCATCTCCGTCATCATCATCCCCATCATTTTCTTCATCACCGTTCTTATCATCATCATTATCACCATCGTCATAGTTTCCTATCAGAACAGATATTAACCTTATTCACTTGTACTGGTTTGGCAATGGTGAATATAAGGTCTAAGCCCTGCGAGAAAAAAATGTATTTCAATTTTCCATGTAAATAATTTTCTATCGTCAAATCAAGTTGCTATTTTATTATCATTTCATCATCATCATATTATATCTCCTCATCATCACCATAGCTGTCGTCGTCATCATAACACCATCACGGTCATTTCGAAATCATCTTCATCATCATCTTCTTCCCCTTTGTTACCATTATTACACGACATCATCATCATCATCATTATCATCATCATAATTTTCCTATCATCGTCATTGTCATCATCATCATCATCATAGTTTTCCCATTATCATCAGCAGCAGCAGCAGCTGCAGTAGCTGCACTAGCACCGTCATTGCTTACGGCAGTGTCTTCATATATGTTGGTCCATGTAATTTCTCGGTTGCTCGTTATCGATGAGTTACTGAGGACCGTTATGAAATTCTTTGGAATGAATGAATGAAAGAGTGAATGAATGAATGACTGAATGAATGATTAAAAGAATGAATAAATGAACGAATGAATGATTGATTATATGAATAAATAAATCAATAAGTGAATGAATGAATAAACGAGTGAATAAACAAATAGAAGAACGGTTAAATAGACTAAAGAGAGAGAGAGAGAGAGTAAAAGATTGAACAAACAGAGCAGTATATAAAAGAATCAGCAAATATGTAATGAAACCGACCAACACTAACCAATAGTTGTTCAAATATTTGTTCATCAGAGTCTATGCGAGCATGGAATCCTGTGTTGATCAACAATGGCATCGCTGATACCAACACATCCTCCCGTGATAATACTACTAACACTAACTAAATTGCTACTTCTGCTAGCTAGACTGGTTCAGTTACTACTATTGTTGCTACTGCTACTACAAAATTTGTTGTTTCTACTATTACTACTGCTTCATTTGCTATTACTGCTTCTGCTACTGCTGCTGCTGCTATTACTACAACGACAGTTACTTCTACTACTACTACTTCGACTTTTGCTATCACTAATATACGACATATATATTATCATCATCACCGTCATTGTTATCATCGTCATCATCATCATCATCATCATCATCATCATCATCATCATCATCATCATCGTCATCATCATCATCGTCATCATCATCGTCATCATCATCATCGTCATCATCATCATCATCATCATCATCGTCATCATCATCATCATCATCATCGTCATCGTCATCATCATCATCATCATCATCGTCATCGTCATCATCATCATCATCATCATCGTCATCATCATTGTCGTCGTAATCATCATCATCATCCCAACCTCCATTGCTGCAAGCGATATCTCTAGCGAGGTTTCTGCTACTCTTATCCTTGCCAAGCAAATAGATGAACGGCTTAACCTAGTTCATTTGCGTCATTGTAAGGATAAAATTGGAGAAATTAAAAGAATTAAATTAGATGATGGACGGATGGAGTTAATGAATGAATGAATGAAGGAATGACAATAGATTGAATAAATGGATGGTTTGATGAATGGATAGAGGACTATGTAAATGAATGCATGCATAAATGTGGATGCATGCATTAATGTAGATGCACGAATTAATGGATGAATGCATGTAAAGATAAATGATTAAACAGGTATTAGATAGATGGATGAATGAATGAATGAAATCAATGTAAAAGAATAAAAAGTTAATTAAACTAAAACAGTGCATAAGTAAAAGTAAAGATTCAATTGAAAAAAACATGCGGAAGTTAGTAGGAGAGAAAAAGAGGAGAAAGAAAGAGGAAGACAAGAAAAAATGACAAAAAAAGATAGATAAAATTGAGAGAATGAAAAAGTGAGTGAGTGAGCGAGTGAGTGAGTGAGCGAGTGAGTGAGTGAGTGAGTGAGTGAGTGAGTAAGCGAGCGAGTGAGTGAGTGAGTGAGTAAGCGAGCGAGCGAGCGAGCGAGTGAGTGAGTGAGTGAGTGAGTGAGTGGGTGGGTGAATAAGATGGATAGCCCAGAAGAAAAGCAAAGTGTTTAATAGAATTAGAATCAAAAGCTCGTTAATAAAGTAGAGTGCTTTATTTCAGACTACTACTAGTGAATAACTGAATTGGATGAATGAATGAATGAGTGATGAACGAACGAACGAACGAACGAACGAATGAATGAATAAATGACAGACGGTAATTTTCATAATTGATGAATGAATCCAAAAGCAAAAAAACAAAGTAATGGAGAATAAGAAAAATTTTTGGATATAAAATAGGACTCAAAACAGCAAAAACAAAATAATATCAAAAAAAGTTTTATTCATCTTGCAAAATAACATTTAACGAACGTTGAAAACAAGGTGTGCGTATTTGGATGCGTGTATGTTTGCTGGTGCAAGCGTGCGTACGTGCGTGTTTTGTCCGTGTGTGTGTTTGCGTTCGTGCGTGCGTATGTTTGTGCGTGTAAGTGTGTGTGTAAAGTTTTGTTTTCGTCGTACCTTGAAGAATGGATGTCTGTTAATATCTGAGATGAGAGTCTGGATGTTGCTGGTTAGCATGGATGTCAGCATGACGAGGGATCTTTCGCATATGTGGTTCATGTACATGCTGTTGTTCAACTGTGGTGGGGATGGAGATGAAAAGGATGAAGACGATGAAGATGTTGATAATGGTTATGTTTGTTATAATTCGTTTTTACCAATCAAACATTCATTCATTCGTTCGTTCGTTCGTTCATTTATTCATTCATTCATCTAACTGTGGATATAAGCTTGAGGGCTTCTTTTACACCGTCATCGTAAGATGTCTTGCTTTTAAACCATTTGTAGTTGTCAATGTATGTCACCACTCTCTGCAATTCACATGAAAATTAGAAAATAAATTGACAATTTTGATTTTAAAAAATAGCTCGGGCATGTTTGCTTGAGTGTGTGTGTGTGCGTGTGTGTGTGTGTGTGTGTGTGTGTGTGTGTGTGTGTGTGCCTTGTACTTGTAATATGCGGTGTGTTAGTTTTTATATGTGTGAATGTGATTGAACTTGTTTTACAAAGAAAATTTGCGTGCGTGTGTGTGTGTGTATTTGTAGTGTAAGTGTGGTTGCGTGTGTGTAAGTAAAAATAACACTGATTTCATTTACTGCGTATAACAACAATAACAAATATAAACAGACATAGTAGTACGATAACAAATTATTCTCATAGAATACTAATCTATACCCAATTCAATATTACTACATTACAATGCTAATATAAAGCAGATAGACTATCATTTAATTAATACTTCAATACTAACATTTTTATTTTCGTTACTTGCCAGGAGAAGTGAAAAATTGAAACACAGTTCTGCGTAGTTGAATGTCGATGAGAACTGTTTGTAATTGTGTTTGTTATTGTTAATGTAAACACATCAAATCACATCATATAACATCATTTCATCATCTTATCACTGGGAATGTTTCAATGTTATTTTCGCACGTTAAAAAATTTCGAAAAAAATAAGAGAATCAAATTTAAAAATTTTCTTAAAGTAAATTGTAATTAATTCTGCCCATGGAGACGAAACAGCACAAGCAAAATATGGAAGAAAAGTTATTTAAATTAAAATCCCATTGACTCGTTTCGTGAAAATTCTACACGGCAGTGTCAAATAAACATCGTTTAAGCTCAGACACTAAGTTTTATTTGTAATACTCTATTAAAAAACAAATTAACTAATTAAAATTTAAAAAAGACAATGGCGAAATTAAATTTAGAACAGTTTATGCAATCCGTTGTAGCAGTAGAAGTTACTTTTGCCTATGATTAAAAGCAGAAAATTACTCCATAAAGAGAATGATTAATGATATAAGGAAGGGAAAAAATACTGTTGTAAATATTTTAACGAAATCATGAAACCAGCCAGTTTTAAAATAGAATGAGAAAAAATGAGAAAGCTAGAAGAAAGAACCCAAGGTGCATTAAAAATTTACGAAATGAGGTTTATAGAGTTACTTATGATTCTAATGTTCCGACTTACACGACTGGCAAAATTATTTCAATGTATGCTTTGAAAAAAAATTTTTTTTTGTCAGAGTTTATAAGAAATTTTAGTTATGATGTGTGTAATCAGATAGAAGGAATGCAGTTACGGTATGCCGAATTAAAATGTTTCTACACAAAAATGAATACAATGAGCAATGTTAACGTGTTAAAAGATGACTTTATAACATTGTTTTTTAATTTTTAAAACATCTTTTGACAATATAAAAACATTAAAAAAATGATACAAACATGGAGTAGAAAACCTACAAAGATAACGTTGAAATAATCCTCATCTGTGAGAGTATCGAGGAAAAGTTTGACAGTTTTTTTGGCTAACTCCATCTTATTCTTCATTCCGTCGCCGACATCCATCAGAAATATGACGACTTTCGGCGATGTGGAAGCTTGTATATACCTGAAGTTGAGTCGTTCGTCGTGTGGGAGAGAGTGTATCAAAAAGAAATTTGTCTATATCGTGACACAATTGTTTGTCGGTTTCTACGTAGGAACATTTGCCAAAATGTTTTGTCTAGTTATTATTTTTTGTAGGGTTTTTGGTGTAACGATGACTGTTATTATGCGAGATGTTTTGTCGAAAAAGTTTTTTTTTCTGTCTTTCGTTTGCAGTGCAAAACCAAAAAAAACCGTGAAATCAATTGCAACGTTACAGAAGTGCATTCAGAGTGGAGAGGACTTTTTATTGAATATCAGGAAAAAGTATGTCTTTTATGATTTTTTTGGACAAATTATTTTGTTATAGTGAAAAAACTAAGAATTCTTAAAAAAACTAAAAATTATTTTCTGATTTATAAATTTTTAGGATAAAAACTTTTTTTTAAAACGGTTTAAACAGAAAAAAATTTGAAGAAATGTCAGATAATAAGCCAAGCAAGAAAATTTTAATTTTTGTTAACTAGTTCAAAACAATTTTTCGAATTGAATGAAACAAATGTAGAAGATAAGTGTTATAGTCTGAAAATATTCAAACGAATGGCCATGATGAAATAAATGAGAATTTATTTTATCTCGTAATCCTAACACTTTTGAAAGAAGCATGCTCTATCTTCAAGTTATTTTAGTTTAAGTAAAAAGAATAGTGTCTGTGAAAAGATTTTTTATACTAAACAATAGTTGCGCGTTAATATGCTAATGTCTAGAAAGAAGGTTTAAGCGTTATCTTTCATCAACAAACAATTATGTGTGTGTGTATTTGTATGGAGTGTAAAAAGGTATATAGGTATGTTTGTGCGCGTGTGTGTGTAATTATGTGTTGAAAAATTTACGTGTGTGTGTGTGTACTCTAGAGCGAGTATGTGTCAACAGCAATTACGTCTGCCTTGGTCGTGTTTGTTTGCACGGAATTTTATTAGGTTTATTTAGTGATGCCATGCGTAGCGCCAATATACTGACCACTTCTGCAGACGACAGTCGTAAACATTCGGGTAGATCTGGTTGGACTTCACCTTCTGCCATGTTGTGCCTGTGTGTGTGTATGTGCGTGCGTATGTGTGTGTGTGCGTGTGTGCGTGTGTGTGTGTGTGTAGGTGTCAACCTGCGGCAAACATTTACATGAAGATACAAAATTGAATATCTCACTATCTCACACATGAAAGCATCCTTAAACGTACATCACTAAAATACATTTGCCTACAATAGAAAATTAAGAACAATAAACTGAAAAATATAAAAAAATAATACTAGAGAACAAAGATAATGAGACAAATCGTCCTTCCTATACAAGAACAATTTAAACATAAACAAAACGTTTGTAAACCACACCAAATGCTTTTTCATTCGTCTCATTTCATGCCAATCTTCTTAATTCTACCCAAACTGTCTGTATCTTATTTCGTTTCGCGTCTATTTTTAAATCATTTTAATAGATTCTTATATTTAATTTATATTAATTTTTGCAGAAACTAACATCCAAAACATTTTATTTATGTCCTATTGCTTCATTTTATTGAATTCTGAAGCATACATATTCATCTGATATGAAAACTGATTTTTGTGTTTATTTTTGAATACGAAAGCATAATTACAAATAAAATTAATTTTAATCTAAAATTGAAAGTAAGAACATCAGATCACATCAAGTTGCATCCCATTCCATCATTATCCCATCCTGTCCCCTCATTATTGAGCGTTTCTGAAGTAACTAAACTGAAATGCTCCTTGGATACAGATACAGAATATCCCATGATATCATATCACATTATTATCCCATGATATTACATCACATCATTCTCCCATAATATCACATCCCATCATTAATCAGGATATCACCTCCCATCATTATCCCATGATATCACATCCATTCATTAATTAGGATATATGCGCAGTCGATAGAATGACAGAAATACTTCCAGTTAAATGTTACACCATATCCCATAATTATCCACACATTCCATCAAATCCTGTTAAACTCCATCGAATCCCATTGTATCCTCTTCCGTCGCTAACCAGGATACATGCGTAGGAAGCCAGTGGAGCTACAGAAGTACTGCCATTTAAGATGTTCATCTCGTTCGTTGTTCCTCTTGAATGTGTCGTCCAGACTGGCCGACCAAGCCACACCGTTCAAGACGTCTGACGCTGTTGTATGTTCATGTTTTGTGTTGTTCATGTTGCTGTTTGTCTTCGGTGTATGTTTATGTTTTCTGTATATTTGTATAGTGTTGGTTATTTGTGATTATATTTTGTAAAAGTGTTGCTGTATTAGTTTGTTGTATGTTTGAGGACTTTTATGGAGTGGATATGTTTTGTTGGTTATGTATACATATTTGTATATGTTCGTGTCTACGTTAATACTCATGTTACTGTTTATCTTTGCGTGTCTATAATTTTTAAATTTTTTATTTTATTGTGTCTGTTCGAATTTTTGACGTTTGAATTATCATTATGGTTCATTTATTATATCCACAGTTTATTCACATACACTTGAGTTTTGTAAACATTTTGGACATGTTTTTTTCTCTATGTTTTTTTTAGCCTAGCCTATTTTTGGTCTATGATTGTAATGCTAATGGATGCATTGTTCGTCCTATCAACTTTTGATATTTGCTATTCAACAAAAACTATTCTGTCTAATGATATACGTGTGGATATTTCCAAATAACTACAAACACATACACATACATGCCCACGCACACAAATAGACACACACACACACACACACACATAAATACACACACATTCCCAAACACACACATACGGAAACTTACACTTCTCGTAGACACTGTTAGGGATGTGCACAGTGCTCATTGTGAAGTTTACAGTCATGTCGTTGAACTGTGCACTGCGGACGAGTATGAAGTCAGTGTAGTTTAAATTCTTCGACTCGGGGTATGTCATCTGGAAAAATTAATGTGTTGCTGGTTGCTGTTATGTGTATGTGTACGTGTGTATGTGTGTGTTTACGTGTGTGTGTGTGTTTACGTGTGTGTGTACGTGTGTGTGTGTGTGCGCGTGAGTTTGTGTGTAGTACGTGATGAAAATTGTGTGTCACTTAGACATATTAAAATAAATACAAACACATACACACGCACATATAAATAAATACATATATATAATTTCATACATTCATATATGTACGTACAGGTATTGAATATGTTTTTAGGTGCATAAAAATTCAGAAAAAGCAATTATAAAACATTAATTAGCAGAATCAAAAGCATCGCTAAGCTGGGCACATACACACACGCTCGCACGGAATATTATACGTATAAAAATAACGTTACGCATGTATCGATTGGTCTCCGCACAATGTTTATGCTAATAACAATAACAAGAGCTGTGCCTCTTTTTTTTGAAAAATAATAAAAAGAAAATAATTTGTAAAAGTGGAGAATATAAAAAACTGCAATGCGTTTGCACCTTGTCACCGGCTGAAAATTTATTCACTGCTGAGAGACAACTGATGATGAGGAAGATGATGATGATGAAAAAGATGATGATGATGAAGATGATGAGGAGGAGGAGTAGGAAGAGGAGGAGGAGAATAATTATGATTATGATTATGAAGATGATTATGACGACGATGCTGATGACGATGACAAAAATGATAAAAATGTTGCCTGTTAAAAGAAGTAACGCACCTAAACAAGCAGTATTTCAATTTCATCTCGTTCACACTGACACATTCGCTCTCTTATGAACGATCATAATTTATACCCTACTCCATACAAACTTTAATCGCAAACACGCACGTGCACGGGTACATATACACGCACAAAGACATGCATACACACTCACATACATACATAAGTGTCGGTTATCAATTTATCATTCAAAAGTTTATAACTACTACATACGTATATATGTTATTATTTTATTTTTTAAACTGCAGGCCTACTTGTTAATCAAAAATATCATGCCTATAAATTCTTCAATGTATTGGATTTAGTTTTCAACAAGAATAATTATAAGATTAGTAGATGAAGATATATAAAAAAAGACGAAGCAAGAAAAGGGATCGTAAAAATGAAAAAAGAGAGAAACAGAGAGAGAGAGAGAGAGAGAGAGAGAGAGAAAGAAAGAAAGAGAAAAAGAGAGAGAGAGAAAGATAGAGAGAGAGAAATAAATAAGAATTTCAAAAATTTCAAGAATTTTAAAAATGTTGACTAACTCTAAGAGTAGGATCAAATATGTGCTGACGGAAGGATACATCAGACATGTTGGAAAGACTCTGCGAATAAGTTAACAATTGAAATCTGTTCATTGTATTGTTGTGTGTTCTAATTTTTAAATAAATTAATTAAATTTGACACAAACACACACAGACACACAAACATAAGAAAACACAAACAACACAAACACACAGAGGGAGAGAGAGGGAGAGAGAGAGAGAGACAAATTCACACACTTACATGTAAAGCGATAAGTTTCCTATGTAGCATTTTCTGTACTGCCCTTTTCATGTCACTGGTCAAGCTCTGACCGTCAACTTGTTTTACATTGGGCTCCAATAGAAGGTAATCCTTGATAATTTTTAGCTATTATTATTATTTTTACTATTAAAATTATTATAATTATTATTTATTATTATTATTAACCGCGAGAGTATTGTTATTATAAGTGAGTAAAAACGAATACCTATTTGTGAATAAAAATGTAACTGCTATTAATTAAAAATTAGTTTAATACTAATTAAATAAATCGATCAATCAATAATCCTCCTTAAATAAAATTTATTAATATTATAATTATTATTGTTTCAAAATAATAAAATCGATTGAAATCAAAAAAAGAGAAACAATTTTGAGATCCATGATGGCGGTTGCCTTGGCGACTTTATCGTAAACCGACTGGCCAAAATGATCGGAAAATTTGATGATGGAATGGAGAGGGAGGTTTAACTCATCGCAGGTGGAAATCCCGAAGTTTAAAAATAGAATCAGGAATTTCCAGACGATTGTTGTTATTGTTATTTTTATTTTTTTTCTCTTCTTTGTCATCATTTTTACTCGTTGTGAATTCTTTGTTTTTGTTGAACTTAGGGTGGAGTGTTTATTTATAATCTGAAAAAATGAAATGTCGGTTGTTTAATTGGACTTAAGATGAATGTATCTTTAAACATACAAACAAACATACATAAACACATACAGACACAAACACACATATACATATATACATACATACATACATACATACATACATACATACATACATACATACATACATACATACATACATACATACATACATACATACATACATACATACATACATACATACATACATACATACATACATACATACATACATACATACATACATACATACATACATACATACATACATACATACATACATACATACATACAGACTTGAAGCCCTTTTATCTACTACATATTCACAAACATTATCAGTAATATAACATATTTATTTGATACAATTTAACTAATGAACTCATTCAAGTAAAATATGAAATACGGATAAAAAAAAACAAACAATAATTAAATTTATTTTCTGGCCATGTCTTATGTTGCAACTCCAGCATAGGCATACATACTATCAAAATTACCTGAAAGTACACGATAATACTAATCCCATCTTTGTCTAAAATACAAAAGTGTACGCGAATGTATTAATAAAAACGTACACATAAAATAAACGCGTGTTGGTACACAAAATGTGTTCAGATTTACAAAAATACCCACACACGAGAGCACCAAAACAAATGAATGAAGGCTGTAGAGTGTGTGGAAGTACGGAAAGGTATACACATACATACATACATATATGCACACATACAGAAAAGCACACACACATACATGCACACATACATACACACATACATAAATATACATACAAACATACATATATTACATACATACAGACATTCATACAATGTAGCAACATGTTTGAGCAATTTATTGTATGAGATCACACTAATTAGGCAAGGTCCAGCAATTTATTTCCGATACTGGCCTGCAATGTCCAATGGATGAATGAACGAATGAATGAATGAACGAACAAACGAATGAATGAATGAATAATGGATGAATGAATTAATTAATTATTGATTGAATAAGTGAACGAATGAATGAACGTACAAGTAAAATATGATTGAGAAAATGAGTTAGTGGATGCATAATCAAATCGAAAAATGTCCAAATTAAACGAACGAAAAAATGAATAAAACTAAATGGGTTTGTGTCAGGTTTTACATTACAAAATTGTGGTACTAGGCGCTGAGTCGTAATTTTGATTGAATGATTCATTCATTCAACCAATCATTCATTCATTTATTCATTCATTCACTCATTCATTCATTCATTCATTCAATCATTCAATCATTCATTTAATCATTCATTCAATCAATTAATCTTTCATTCATTCAATTATTCAATCATTTATTCATTTATTTATTCATTCATTTAATCATTCAGTTATTAATTCATTTATTTGATTGTTCATTTATTCATATTTATTCAAATAATGATATGGCATTGTTTTGATCAAAAACAATGTCAATCAAAATTCAACTTTCAGCTGTCAAAAGTAAACACCCACATACAAAAAAAAACATATCAAAGATCATATATTTATTATCAAAAATTGTTTCTGGAGCACTTTGTATAAAATTTATCGTCGTCACATGAAGGAACCTGGCATATCTAGAAAACACACATACGACTGATATATTGATGTTGATGCGGTTGTTGTTGTTTGTATATGTGAGTGTGTGTGTGTGTGTTTTTGAGTGTGAGTGTGTGGTGTGTTATTCACCAAAATAATAACCATAATAATAACAACACCAACCATAATGACACTGACGAGAAATACACGATTTTCGAAGAGTTTTAAAATTTCGCTTTTTTGCTATTCCATATCGATAACATTTTCAACATTGTGGGGGTAGTCTTCTAATTTAAAGTATAAATTACGGCGGTTTCTAAAATTTTTTTCCTTATAATTTTTTTGACAATTTTGTTTAGTTTTTCCATGCTTTTGTTATTCACAATGCTGTCGTTGTTAATGTAGCTAAATTTGATTGTTGCTAGTGTTGTTGGTGTTTTTGAAATAATGCTACAAACGTTGTCACATTTTTCAGGGCGTTTCATGTTAAACTTACATTAATTCTTTTATTTATTCAGTCCAGATATATGAAGAACACATACACACCACGCATTCACATACACACACACGCACATACACACCATGCATTCACACACATACACATACACACACGCATTCACACACACACACGCACACGCATCCACTTTCACATTTTGTACCCACGAAGCAAACACCACACCGTACACTCATGCTGTAAGGCAGTTTTGAGAATATTGTGCAGACAGCGTTTGAACCTGGTCATCGTGTAATAACAACGAAAGGCATGACACTTCTACCGACTGAACTATGTAACTGACATTGGAAGAAGTAGTAGTAGTTGCGCTACTACTACTACTAATTATAGTAGTAGTGGTTGCGCTACTACTAATAATAATAATAGTAGTAATTGCGGTAGTTGTATTAAAAGTTATAAAGTTAACATGACAATACTTACAAACGCAACTTTATTAACTTGAAAATATTGAAAAAATACCACTAAAATAAAAAAAAGAACACCATCAATCAAGTAAATTTAAAAAAAAAACCAAAAAGTTAATTTCGATAAGAATAATATAAATATAATCAAAATTAATGAACAGATCTTCTTAATAAAATGTCTACCGGAGGATCTAACTTTTAACGTTATGCTGAAACATCCGAGTTGATGTAACATTGAAATGAAGGTGTCAACAACATCAACAACATTAACTGCAACACTAGCAATAGTTGATTTAGCAGGTAATATAAATTCATCAGCGTAAAAAAAATTTTATTTTATTATTAATAATAATATTGTTTTATCACTATTTATTACAGAAACTATCATTAGGTAAATGGGTTAAAAAATTTAAATTAAATTAATTTGTTTTAATAATTGCAATTTAATTGAGTTAATTATGATCACACTCGTGGTTTAAAATTATCCGAAATAAAATATCGGAACAAACTGGAAAAGAAGAAGTCTACAAACTATTAAAACAAACACAACAGCAAAACAACAATAATATAAATATATAATATAATATATATAATAATTAAGAATTAATAATATTATGATAAAATATTTATTATTTAACGTTAAATTATAATATAATGAGAATGAATGAACCAGTAAATGAAGGCTACGAAGACAGACTCCATGCATATGCCTGCATGCATATAATAATGATTCAACTGTTATAGCTTTAATATGCAGGTTCCTTTGTATGCGTTTGAATGAGTTTGTGCATGTGTGTATGTGTATGTATATATATATGTATATATATATATATAAGTTCATTTGTTTGTGTGTGCGTGTGTGTGTGTGTGTATGGTGTGTTAGTGGTATGCGTGTATATGTTTACATATGCATATATGTTTCCACATGTGTTTGTACGTATGTGTGTGTGAATGTGCGTTATTATGTGCGGTTGTATACGTGCGTATGTTGGAAGTTAAGGTGAGCATTTAACTATTTTACAATACAAAAAAAATCGCAGACGCAATTAAAATTAAAAAAGTTTCTTTGATAACTTAAATTTGCTGGTCTGAGTTGGCTGAAGTTGATTGAGTGCCTGCCATCAGTTCGCTTGACTTAATTCATTTCTCAGGTGACAATAACGTAAATAATAATAATTATAATTATTCAAATATTTTATTATTATTTATATTTTTAATAAATTATAGATGTACATTTTATGACGACGCTAGCTCATTCATTCAACAACCAAAAAATATTTTAAGCTTTGATTTCAGCAACGTCATTGACGTAATTTTCGCGTAACCATGGATACCTTAGAAAAAAATGTTATAATGCTACGATGACGTAGTGATGACGCTAACAAATTGTTACGGCGTAGAGGCAAATTGTCCGATTTTGAGTTGGTGTTCTCGGGGTCAAGTGCAAAAACATGCCGTCTTACGGTAAAAACATATGACTACGAGTTGCCGTGCCATTTGGAAGAGTTAAATCCAAGCGCTATATAATTTTTTTTTTCACTTCCTTTTCAGGAAGGTCACAAAGGTCACAGACGACGACGATGATGATGTAATAATGGTGACATCAACGGTGATGATGTCATCATGACGGCTTCAAACAAGAGCATCAATTATTTTTTAGTCCATCTAATGCATCTTGGTCATAATTTATGAGATTGTTTAATTCGCGTGTGGGTGTGTATGTGTGTATCCGTGTGCCTGTGTATACATGTGCGTGTGTGTGCGTGTCTGTCTGTCTGTGGGTTTTGGCGGGCTTGTTTATTTCCAATTTGTTATCATTCATTCATTCATTCATTTGTTCGTTTTTTCATTCGTAACATTTTTTTCTTTTTCATTCTGAGCGTGAGAAAGGAACAAAAAAATGAGTGAGGCACACTTTTATGGCAGATGATTGAATGCATCGCACTAGGATTGTCTTAAAAGTTTGTTGCATGTTTGTATGTTTGTTTGTTTGTATGTTTTTTGTTTGTTTGTTCGATTGTACGTTTGTATGCTTATGTGTATTCCTTTCATTAATTTTTAAAAAGTTTATTTCAGTTTACTGAGAAATAATTTGAAAATTTCTACCTTTTTTGATGAAATTAAATAATAAAAAATTTGCGTTCATTAGTTTGTAGGTGGCCGAGCATATTTGAACATTTGCATATATGTTTGTGAATGTACAATATGTATAAATTTGTATGTTTTGTATGTGTGTGTATGAATTTGTTTGTGTATGTGTTTATATGTATATGGTATGTTTGTATGGAGTAAGTTTGTTTGAGCGCGATGACATCTTGCTCACTGGTTGTACTACTAAGACGATTAACTCCATAAGAAGATTTCATCTAATCTTCCCATAGGCTACGACGACAACTGAATGCATGAAAAGAACGTAACATGAAGGTGAAAGTATGTGGCATGTTCATATTAAGAGATA